CCTTTCATGGTTTAAAAAGCTATAAACAAACAAAAAATACAGTGAGTTACAAGTACTTAAGAACTTGATTTCATGCACGTGCAGTAGCATTTGCTAATGCTGGCATCTATGATACTATCTATTGTCACAGCTAGTTAGTATGGTGGACATTTCCCTGCAGAAATGCATTATAGTTTGAAATCTTTGTGCTCCAGCACAGTTTAGATGCTCCACAGGAAGAGGAAGTCATCTTGCTTTTGCAGGGCTTCTAAGCTCACTGCAAAAGATTCTTTCAGCTACTCTAACTTCACCATTTCTCCTCCACCGCCCTGTTATTTTTCCCTCTTGAAAAAGTGTGGAAGAGAAATTTCTTATCTGCCCTTCTGCTCCTGTGAAGATGTATTTGCACTCAGGACAGGAAGTTTACGATGCTTTGCTCTCAGGCACTAGTACTTGAACAAAAGCTCCCGCAACACTTTGAACTCTCAAACTGCCAGGACCTCATTCCCTAGAAATGTCCAACCAGTTCAGAATTATGCGGGGAAGGCTCTTCTGTGTAGGTAAATGCCAAATTCTCAAACTGGAAACAAACCATTCCCAAGGATGAACAAATAATCTTGCCTAAGAGATAACATGCCACCCACAAAATAGAACCCTTGACCCCACAAACTGGGAGGGCAGTGGAGGTGGATGAAGACATAAAATTCTATGAAAGTTCTTCTGAAAGTCAGAATTACAGAAAAGTATTTTTCCATTCTTTAGAGATGTCGTCAGCACAGGATTCTGACTTACGGAGCTGAACAGCTCAAAGGGGTGTTTTCCAAACAAGAAAAGAAACAATAAGTGAAGCATCAGACAGCATGACTAGTAAAAAGATAGGCCCAAACTGCAATGAAAGTGGGGAGAAGATACTTGCCAAGAGCAACAGATAGGAAGCCTGAAATGGATGTGTCCTCCATAAAACAAAAGCCAACTCCTGTAAGAAACATTCCAAAAAGAAACCAAACTCAAAGGAGCCGGAGAGTCTGTGATCCCCACACATCTTGGGGACAGGATCTGCAGCACTGAATGATGACATTCCTCCTACAAGCCAATCCTGGCAATAATAACCCTTTGTAAAGTGGGGTGGACCATATGGGTGCTTTCTATGTAATCTGAATTGAAACAGGTCTGAGGCTGTCAATTGAAGTGTCCTGTCTCTGATGGTATAAGACCTTCTAGCTGTAGGCCAGCCAGGTCATAATGGAAAGACATGAGGTCAGACAGGGTCATTTTAATGACAGCAGAACCTACTGACTTGGTGTCAAAAGAAATACAAACCTTTAAAGACATTAGTCTTCTCCAGGGAAAAAAACAAAACAAAACCCTTTTAGTGAAGAAGAGAACTGGACACTTCTCCACCAAAAAGCACTAAAAAGCAATGGAAGAAAGAACCCCAAAGACGTGGTGAAGGTGCTTGGCGCAAATGAGCTGTTTGGCCTTGAAAAAGAGCTGGTGTGCTAAGGTCAGCTTGCCGAGAATGATCAAAAACTACAGAAACAGACAGGAAAAAAATGCTGTGGACTGATTGTTGGCTCAGGAAGCTCAGAGGAAGGGCACTGGACATCCAAGCAGTAGCATACAAAGTCAGAAGATCCAGGTGCTGAAAGAAGGTTCCCTTCCTGACCGCTGTGAAGAGGAAGTGACTACAAGATTCCAGGGGTGAGTTACTGGCAGATGGAGTACGCACAAAGGAGGGAGGGATAGAATTGGATGAAATTTTTCAATCAAAATTTTTTTTGTTAAAAAATGCAAGTTTGGCAACACTGAAATCTTTCACAAATTCATGCAGTTTTGACAAACTGTTTGTTTAGAAACAAACAAAAGATTCCAAGAAATTCAAAATGTCAACATTTTTAAATGAAATGTTTTGATTTTTTGCTTCGAAATGACTTTTCATTTAGAACCTTTCTGTGATTTTATTAAAAATTCAAGTGCTTAAAATGCTCAAAATCAAAATGAAATGTTTTGTCTCACTTGAAACTAAACTTTTCGACTTGTTGAAAGTTTCCAAAATTTTGATGTTCAGTTCAACCTAAAACAAATTTTTCATCACGCTTCTGATACTGCCAAAAAAGCAAAAAATCAGTTATGTGCCCAGCTCTAGTGGGAGAGTCTCAAGTACCAGTGCCTTAGAGGGTCAAACAGAGCTGGGGGAGCAGTGTCACCAGTGGCTTTGGACTTAAAATCCAATTACGTGGACATAAGATTTTGAATTTAAAAACTCAGCAGTGAGGAAATGCCAAAGTTATGGTTGCATCTACAACGTTTAATCGGCCCATGTGCTAACGACATGGTCATCTCGTACGGTTACTCATTACAATATAATAGACGCTTTTTTTCCCTACAACTTTATATACACATGTGAAGCATCTTGCAACACACTTCTTTCATTCTTGTATGGTTTCACTGATTTGATCCTCATTATTGGAATGGTCCACTATATTGTGCTTAATGGAAAACATTCTCTCTACATGGTATTATGCTATTTAATATTTTTTCACCGAACATGTACTATATACGTTCAACAGGATATTTTCCCTGTACAGGCAGATATACCTCTGAACAGTAATTTATTACTGTATCATCTCACAATCTATTTATCAATGAATGACATTTATAGAGCTCTGGTAATAGTAAATATTCATTTTTGATTTCTTATTTGATTGTGTACATGAAGAAATAGCTAATTTATATCATTAATGTGACCTATCCTCAAACGGCCTTAATAAAATTCAAGTCTTATTTTCACCAAGTACTGGGTGCATGCTCTTAAAAATGGCGTGAAAGTTAATTTAATTTCAGCTAAGAATTTGTTGCACATGAAAACTGTGCTTGTTCACCTCTGATTTGCAAATTATTAAGATATTTCTAAATTCACAAGTAGAAATAATTTGGAAACTAATTTTCTCCAAAAACAGATATAAAATTTATGTTTTCAGAAGCTAAGTATAAGATCCTGTTTCCACTAAAGGAAACATTCCTATTAACACTTGAGAAAGAAAGAGAGAGAGAGAAGATTTCACCCTAAGTATTCAATTGAATTAAAAATAATCATGACTTTACAAAATGTGACATACTATACTTAATCAGCGATGCTACAGTGATGTCTCTGGACGCCAGCTGAGATTAGGGTCCCATTGTGTTAGGTGCTGTATAGAAACACAGCAAGGAATAGTCTTTGTCCCAACTAATTTACAGTCTAATTACTGTAGTTACTGAAACAATTAACGTTACAGTTGCAAACTTTTTATATGCCAACAGATAACGCAGTTCACTATTGCTTTATGTTTTGCTTCATCTATGGTATGCTACTAATTTGTAGTATTGCTTATATAAGTGACGGTCAGGGACTTTGCTGGCATTCACAAAATATTAGAATATGCTACCAATATGTATATAAGGTCGTAGAAGAAATTGTATAATATTATACTGCATTATTTCAGAAATAGTATGTGACCATGTGATTAAAGGATGTATTATAGTATACATTCAGAAACGGGAAGAGTTAACTCACTCTTAACTCTCATATTTGCTGACTTCTGAGACTTTACATTTGTAATCTTCATCTTTAATATAGATTATAATGTTTTATGCTGGGATTTTCAAAAACAGCCATTGGGAATTGGGCACCTCACTCCCATAGGCTCCTTTGACAATTTCAGCCATAATCATTATGTAAAGAAAATATATCCAAAAACATGCAGGGGTTATCACAATGTGGGCACTTTAAAAAGATACCCCTAAAATATTCAGAGAGACACACCTCAGTGCTAGTCTCTGAAGTGAAATAAAATAAATGCACCTGTACGCTGGATGTCCCAGTTTCAAAAGTCCATAATTCTGTTATTGCACAATCGGTTATTTTGTAATCGTATTGCTTCAAGAAAGTCAAAGCAGTGTTTTGACCATGCCAAGTGTGCAGTTTTTCAATAAAGCCATTTCTGAATGACAACAGAAAAGTTTTACAACCGAGCAATGCTTTCCTCAATGCTCAGATTACTTAAAAATGGCCAGACTTCTAGAAAATTTTCACACAATATTCCCTAGACCAAGCATGAGAAATTTCATACCAGAAGTATCAGGGGGTAGCGGTGTTAGTCTGTGTCCACAAAAACAATAAGGAGTCCAGTGGCACCTTAAAGACTAACAAATTTTAGGCATAAGCTTTCGTGGGTGGGTTTTTTACTCATGAAAGCTTATGCCCAAATAAATTTGTTACTCTTTAAGGTGCCATCGGACTCCTTGTGGTTTTTATACCAGAAGTACATTTTGAAAGTTACAATCAACTGAAAAAAGGGATTTTGACTGGAAGTGCCATTTCAACCTTTAATATAAAGATGGTATGGAGACACTACAGTACACTATAGAAAAATATGATAAAGAATTTAGCAGCCAATGTTAAGAATCTCAGTAAGTATTTAAGTAATGACAAACATGATCATCATACATGTTTTACTTGCATAAAATTCCTTTCCTTGAAGACACACAAGTGCTTTGGATAATCTATTTACAACGCACCAATATCCTTAGAGATACTGAACTATTTTTTTTGGCCTGATTTCCAACAAAACAGAAATGGATTAAAATATACAGGCTTGGCAGGTATTTGGGGAGCCATGGACAGATGCCTTCCATTACTACAGGAACTGGATTGCTGATTCGTTTGGAATGCTGCATCAGAGAGGAATGCGCCCACATTCAGCAGTGCACCCCAAATCACAGCCCCTCACAGGAAGAGAGTAAGAGACCCCTGTAGAAAATTTCACTGATATCTTATTTAAATTAATCGAATGTAGTAGCTCATGGTGATGTCCAGAAAGAATACTGCTGGAGCATGGATCCCCCTTCCTTCTGACTGCAGAAGAGTTCATCCTAACAGTGGCACTTGGTAGGCTCATTATAATGACAGGCAGCAGAGGAATCTCAAAAGCATGAATGTTAACCTAGGATTCTCAAAGGTTTGAGCAGGAGAGAGATACCTCTATGCGCCCGCACATGGGTCTGGAAACAGTTGTAATACTTGTATTTCTTCCCACATATTCCACACTCATAAGACCCTGAAAAACAGGACAGAAAAGTACAGATTACCATATTAAATCAGTAACAAGCAGACAGCCCCATGATACAGAGACAACCACAAACTGATGAGAGGACAGTGCAGCTGTCAGCAAGAGAGGGTTTGGAAGGCTTGTGGAGTTAAGTGCAGGGAATTTGTACTCCACTGTCCACCTCTAGATCCTTTCTTGCTGAGTAAGAGTACTTGACATATTTTGCTGCATTTACATTTACAGTATATCTTTATAATTTTATTAATTTGGAAGAACCACTCTCAATGTAGCCAGAATTATGATTTAATAATAATAATAATAATAATTTTCTAGTAGTCAGAATAAACCTTGAACTAGTTTTTTTATCTTCAAAATTTCTCAAGCAATGTAATTACCACACAAAGAGATTTGGTACATATCCAGGAGGATACCAGATAGATTAAAATGAACTTTAGACCTTTATAGGTAAAACTCTTCTGATCGCTGTATTTCCGCCTCTCAGTTTGCTTATCTGATCTCAGAAGATATGTATCTACAAGCAGTCAGCAGTAACAGAGACACAAAAGTTGAGCTGGGAGAATAATTTGCAACGACAAAATTATTTGTCAATGAATGTAGCCTTTCCTGCTCACGGAACATTCATAAGCAGTTAGAGACTTCCTCAAATATATTTGCTATTTAAAATTCTTATACTTTTAAAAAAAACCCCTCTATGGATTGGTTGTAAATCATTCTTTGCAGTGACACACAGTTTGTTAACTGTGCTGTTAGCTACGATTAGTCATGGAGCGCTATTCCTGCTCCCTTTTAAGGGGGACCCGGGGAGGGAGGCGGGAAGAGAGAACATTACTTTGTGTGAATTTAAAATGTAATGTCCACAGCTATTTGATAATGTATCTTTTAAATTTACTTTTCCTGAACATGCAGAGCCAGTAAAACTCATGGACGTGAGTAAACACCAAAGGAGCAAGAGTGTGGCCAAAGCACACTCACATACAAATTCAAGCAAATATTCACCTGCTTCTTTTGTTTCTTGGTCATACTTGCTCGGCTGAGTGATGTCTTTCAAGGGAAAATGTCAACCAGTTATCTGTATACTGTTATTTATGTCCTTTCCTTCTCATGCAATGACCTGTCCCTTTTGGTCTGGGGGAAGCTGATTGGACTGTGTCCCTTTTGTTTCTAACAGAGCAGAAGTCTTCTTTGTCTCTGAATAAACAACATTGCTATGGGAATGCCCTTCGAGTTGCGAAGGGTATTTCTTCCTCGCCACTGGTGCTGAAACTGCAGGGGGCGCTCACAAGAACACACTACAGTACAGTGTGCTATAGCAGTGTCAGAGTAAGATGTCTTTTGAAACAATATTTAAAATGCTGTATTCGTTCTCGGAAGGGGAATCACACTCAGGGAGGGGAGCAAACCAAATCCACTTCCGTTTCTTAGCAAGAGATTTATTTTTTGGATATGAAAAGAGAGTCATAATCCCAGGGCCAGTCTGTAGCAGATTTTAAAAAATTCAAAGTAGGCCAAAGTTTGGGCCTCAACAGGTTGATATCATCCCTCTGACATCACTTTACATATTAAATGAGTCATTATACTTCTCCCCAAACCCAAATCCTCTTTTTATAGGAGTACTCAAAACCAAATATAATCAGTCAATGAAAATACTCTTCACCACTTGGGTTACAAAGGATAACAATTCCATTTGATTGTTAAGGATCTGTCACGCCAAGAGGAAAACAACATAACCAACAGCAATACCAGCCAAATACCCAGGGACAGCTTTGCATTCGTGAAGATCATGGAGAAAACAAAAAGAATGAGGGGCTCTATTCTGATCTTTTTTAGCCTGTGCGTCTTTCTTTTGTATTTCTCCCCACTTCCCTGGAAATGGTCTCTGTCGCATGTAAGTACATTTAGTTGAGCAGCATTCCACAAAGAAAAAAAAATAGCCCACATATGTGACCACGTGTTGCCTTCTAGCAAAAACCTGAAGCTGAACTTGCATTTCCAACATGAACACAGGAGATTTCTCATCTGAAAACAAGTGTCCATGAATCTGATGCCAGAAGAGGTGAGAGGCTGTTAGTGCTGGCTATGGGCCAATGGATTTGCCAAGGCTGTTGATCCTCTGCTAGTCTGCCCTTTGGCTTCTCCTGGGCAGATCCTGCTAGTGATCTAAAATATGGGAGGGTGAGATGTGGACACATAGGGCCAAGATGAAAGACCCACCAAACTCCTTGTCACCTGTGACTTAAGCCAGCATTTGAACCCCAGATCTCCAAGGCTGAAAGGCCAATGCTCTATATCCACTGTCACTGAGACCCTGCGGGTTTCCATTTTACTTTCTCCCCGTGTATACACAGGCCACGTCCCTGACCTTTCACAGTACTGAACACTAAAATCACAGCTTCCACAAAAGCCTGGTATACAGGATGGCTTGTGCCATAATATAAAAGAAGCAGGAGGGCTGACTCAACCTAGATGCTCTTTGTGCTGATGTTCTCCTGGGCTCTGGGCTAATTTCCCAGAGAGTGTTTGCTCCACATCCTCAGATGAGGGTACATCTAGCCAACTCCTCTGAGCCCTCCAGTGGTAAGGTTAGAACAGTTAAAGCTCCATGCCCTGAAGACAGGACAACTTGTGGAGGTTGTCATGGGACCTAAGCAAGTCCTGGAGTCCTCAGGTTGTAACAGAGAAACCCTAAAAATAGAGGCCTGTGTTTAGAAGATCCTGCACTGCAGTGCTTTTCGGGGAGGGGAGGGAGTAGAAACATCCACACTCACCCCCAAAATGAGAGAAGGTGGTGATGTTTTGCCACAATGTGTGTGTTATTTCAGGGGGAGGAAAGACAAGGTGAAAAAAGACACCCTGCACGCTAGCGGCTTACGAAGAACATGCTTGCGTGGCCTTGGGCACTGCTGCTATGGTCACAGAGCCACCCTGGGCTCTTGGCCATGTTGGGACCAGTCATGCAGGTTAACACTGCCCGAGGTATGGAAAGAGATGGGGGCGGGGTGTGTGCGGTTAATTGGTGTATTAGACTTTGCCAGATTTTTTCCTGAGTCTTGTGTTTGGAATTTGTGCAACATGCCAGTTGCATCTAGAGCTTCCCCTTGCTCTGTGATCCCTGGTTAAACTTTCACACCCTTCCATCACATACCGGATGTGTATCTCAATGCATGGTCAAAAATCCAGGTGCCTGAGTATCGATTTCGTGTATATCCAACAGGAGAGCTGTGTTCCACTGCTTTTCCATCTAAATTGCACAAAAAAATCAGACAAGAGCCCTTAAAGTGGATGAATTTCCAAAAGATAACGAGGGTTGAAACCTAGTAAAAATGTCAAACACTTGAGTAATGTCCTGTGCTTGTACCAAGAGGTCAAAGGCTAGGCAGAATTTTCTAAGGTTTTGCGCCTCATGGTCTAATTCAGCATAAATATTGGAAGTCCCAAAGCTGCTTAGTAGATGAGGCATCTGCACCCTGGCTTGAATCAAGTAGGTACAAATTAGCTGGCTGGCTTCAGAACAAAAGGATTCACACAGAACCACTGTCTCACTCCTCATCTCCTCTCTCTAACATTTATGTCCCCACCCCTCCACTTGGAAAGTCCTCCTCAGTAAGTTTCTGACGGTGCATCACTGCCCACATGTGAGGGTTTAAATGGAGTCTAACACAAAACTCCTCCTGATCAAATCCCAGATGATATAATCCCCCCAAATCCAAACACTGAAATGATCAAATTCGCAATGTTACAGGACAGACATTAGGCCATTCACAAAATCTCATCCAGTCTCAGCTCCTCTTTCTCTCACCTTCCCAGTAGAAAGGGCCATGTCCCACTCATTGCCTCTTGGCTCCCAGATAGATTTTTGTGGGAGCCTGTCTGTCTGTCTGTCTGCCTGCCAAGCTGTGCCTCTCCAAGAAACATCAGTGCTGGAGCTATTCAGACAGCCTGGGGCCCAAAGGCAGCAGGTGAGGTCGCCAGTAAAATTACGTTTCTGAGCTGCGCATTGTTAGAAACTACTAACAGGTGGGGCCATCCGGATATTCCTTAGGCTGGTCTGTCAAGATTTAGAGAACAGAGGGATTTGGGTTGTCAGAATTTTGTCATTCAGCCATTGATCAGGTCCCAAAGTTACTGCCAATTGTTCTGTAAACTCTACTTGCTTGTGATGCCTGAGCTGTGACACAATGCCCAAGAGAAGATGAGCAAGTGCTCTAACCCAGTGGTCACTAATCAGAGATGGACCAGCGCTCGTACATCAAGCTTGAGGGACTAATACTCTGGGCACCACCACTGCTTGAACCCTATTTAGTTGTATTCACTCTAACATGGAGTCTGGGCTGCTCCAAAGCCAGTGAGAAGAGAGTTTGGAGCAGTCCAGATTTCTGGAGACAGGTAGCTGAATAAGAGGATTGGGAATGACTGATCTGAAACAATGCAGGCCTAACCATAACAGCAAGAGTACATCCTGGCTGAGGGCAAGCAACAGGGCAAGCTGAGGGGCAACATCTATCTCAGACAAGGAGTAAAGCCGCCTGGTCCAGATTTCAAACTGACCCCTGGAGTCATAGCTCTGTCTGGTGAAGAAAGCTCCTTGTCACTGTGGAACCTTCATATGCTTTGCAACCCTCAGGGTCACTGTTGCCGAGGGACGTAGAGCAGACCTGATGTGGACAATCCAGTTCCTATTTACCTGACAACAACTCTCGCACAATATGAAAAGTGATTTCGTGTATATCCAACAGGAGAGCTGTGTTCCACTGCTTTTCCATCTAAAGCGATACTCTGTGGGGCTGGTAATGGCACATTATAGAATGTGGAGGGGATCTGTTACCTTCCCTCTCATCAATTCTTCCTTTACTATTATACCCCATATAAAATTACCACTTTAAACACCTCGTGTCTCAATTCCTCTGATGAAGAGAAGCAAAACCCCGCCCCAGTTTGCCTTCACTGCTGAAGCAATTGAAACAATGGGCAACTGGGTCAATTCACAGTAAAGTTTTCAGAAGGCAAATCTCATGGAGAACTCATGCAGCTGCAGACAACAAGCAGCCTGTCCTTACAGAGCTGTCCAAGCTTTGCTAACCCCAAACGAAGAACAGCAGCAAAATGCCGCCTGCAAGGCAACAATTGCCCAAGTTGCAGAGCTGATGTTTGCACTATGGCCGGTTTGTGTTTTTTGTAGGGCAGTGAAGGTGAGTGGGGGCACAAGCACTGAGTGGGAACCAGTTTGAAAAACCACAAGAAACGGTTATTGGGGCACGTCAGTTCAATCAGAGTGCAGTACTTGGGGGCCAAACAGAAAAGTTATTCAGCGCCAGTCCGTGTGCCACTTCCCAAACGAACAGGGGCCCGATGCATGGATACACTCGCAGGGCTCTGCACAATGGAACCAGCCTCAGGATCCAGTTGGCTTTAAAGAAAACTAGCAACTAGGGTATAAAATAAAAAAATATGATGCACAATTGATTTAAAGGGGCACTGCTGGCTAGGAGAATTTTCCCCATTCATTTTTTAGTTCATGCCTTATGGCTTCAAACCTGATATTAGCACCTCTTTCCCCTCCCACAACATAACCTCCCCCTACCGGTAACACCCATCATCCCCGAGGGTTATCCTGCCCTCGGCCGACATGGCATTCTGATGCATTTCCAAATTCAGTAGATGCCAACATGGCTGCCTTCCGTCGAGTTCTCAGTTTCGACACTAGTATTGTCAGGGTTACCTAGGAACCACAGCTCTGCAGGAACAGTATTTGTGAGCTGCCTGCGGACACGGAGCCAGTAGGGGGAGCTCATGCACAGTTCTTTGGAGGATACTCTACAGACCTCTGGCTTCTGGAGTCATAGCCCCACTGCCAAAGCACTGGTAGCTGGTGTGACAGAGGACCCTTGGGACACCTGATCACCAGCTCTCCTTCCAGGACAGGCCTGTGGAGCTCTGCACCCCACTTGGTGCTCCTCTTCGCCAGCAGGGAGCAGGGAATTGTGGGGTCTCTCTGCCCCTTACAATTCTGAATATATTTTCCACCAAATTACATCAATATTAAGGTAGATCTAATTATGGGATCAAACAGGCCTGCTGTGTCTCTCTTCACCCTTTCTTTCCCCTATTTAAACAGCAGTTTTCCCTTTTTAGGCTGTGGAGGGTCAGCAGCCAGGCGCCAGTTAGGTCCCATGGGCTGCTGGTACTTCCAACCTGAAAGGAGAGAAGAGAAGTGCCTTTTGTAATAGCTGTTCTAGCTGGGGAGTGAATGGCAAACACGGTGTAAGAGGATCAGAAAAATCCAACACCCTGGACCAGCGCCTGGCTAATGACAAGTTCTAGGGGTTCTCTCTGCAGCAGCTGGGGTTATGATCATGAGCCTAAAACCACTGGGGCAGACGAAACATTAATACTAACCACAAATAAACTATGGTAACTCCAGGCAACTCATACTAGTTTCCTTCCCAGTCCCTAAAGCTAATAAATTGCTTTCCCCATGGTCTAACTCCTTCCTCTTCCTGTCACATGAGACTTATTCTTGTTTCAGCAACTGTTCTTGGAGCTCAGCCTTGTTAAGCTGCTGGTAGAAGCCCTTCCATTTAGAGTTGGCGGAGGAGTCACTGTTGAAAGCAGCTGTCTCCTTCTTTCAGTAGCTTGCAAAAATGCCCTCTCTCTGGAATACTTATAAGGAGAAAGATGAAGGATGGTCTTGTGGTTCAAGGCACTTGCCTCAGGAGGTGGTTAAACATTTTCCAAAACTTTTCTAACTGAAAATTTGGTTTTTATCTCAATTAAACTTTTCATGGAAAGTGTCTGCTTCCCTCAAAAAATTCAATGTTTTTTTTTTGTCAGAAAACCAAAAATATTTCAGCGTTTGGCACTTTTTGGCCCATGTTGTCAGCCCACAACTGCTGAAAACAAGACATTTCAGCTGAAATCCCAAGTTTTCAGTTTCCAGCCAAAGAGTTTGGGGTTTGGGGTTTTTGATAACATTTTCTCTGGGGATCCCGCCCCCTATTTTTTGACCAGCTCCATTCCAGAGATTTGGGTTCAACTCCTGACTTTGCCACCGATGTCTTGTGTTCTGCTGCACAAGTCATTTAATCTCTCTGAACCTCAGGGCCCCATCTGTAAAGCGAGGATAATAATTCTTCCTTCCTTTCTTTTGTCTATTTAGATTGTAAATCCTTCAGGGCAGAGAGAGAGACAGAAAGAGGGAGCGTGTGGGGGTGTGTATATGGCACCTAACTCAGAGAGACCCTGATCTTGCTTGGGTCTTTAGGCATGACTGTAATACAAATAAACACTAATAATAAAGAGAGAGGGATTGAATAATCTTCTGCCTGGATGTAGATTCAGCTTTAAAAGTTCAGCTTAGTGCTACTGGGTAGAGCTGAGCATTCAGCAACTTCCTTTCCAGAGGTTCTCTGCTCTCCCCACACTTGACAAGACTCATACTGGGAAACCAGGAACCAATCACCAACAGACCAGTTAGCCAGTAGCTTACCAAGTGTCTGCTGGTTGCGGACCCCTCCAATCACCACACAGATTTCTGCTGGCACATCTCCTGGCCCATCCTTTATGTTTTTCTTGGAATCTTTGGTGTCATCCTGCCAGATCACCTCTTGAATATAGTCATCTGGTATCTCTGTTTTCACCTTCACCTCCGTCATTGTTCCGGGCTCTTCACTCGGCGAGGACTGAGATGTCACAGAATCAGAGCCCTCTGCTTTCGGGCTCTTCGGGCTCCTCTTCAAGTGCTCCCTGGGTGCGGGGAAGAGGAAAAAATAAGAATTCTTATTTTCTAGCTCAACTTTCAGTTACTGACACCAAAATAAAGATACTTCTGTTTACTATGGTTTATTTAAGATTACTGTGTAAGTTTGTATGTGTCTGTGATAAATGAGTGATAAAATTTTAAGTACTTACAAAAGTAATAAAACTATTTATTAGTAATGAAAACAACCTTAAATAGCATCAACAAACTGACTCATGAGAGAAAATGAGATTCCACTTTGGAAAAACAAAGCTAATACTATCTTGCAGGAAAACAGTCTTTTTAAAAGCACACATACTTACCAGAAGGGAGAAACCTGGAAAACAAAAATCTGACCGAGATCTACAGCTGATAATGGGCAGCAAATTCATTCTACTCTGGTAATGTGATATGGCAGCAAAAGAAAATGAGCAGTTTGGGGTTTCACAGACAGAGGAATCATCAGAATGCAGTCCCTTTATTTGACTCTCCTGAATCCACTCATATGTCCAGTCTTGGGCACCTTGTCACCAGCACTGGGTATAAACAAACTGGAGGAAATTCAAAGATGAACACATATAATGTGGAAGATTGCAGGATCAATGTACAAGGACAGACTAAGGCCTGGTCTACACTACGACTTTAATTCGGATTTAGCTGCGTTAATCCGAATTAACCCTTCACCCGTCCACACTACAGAGCCAGTTAATTCGAATTAAAGGGCACTTAAAATCGATTTCTGTACTCCACCTCGACGAACGGAGTAGCGCCTAAATCGATTTTGTTAATTCGAATTAGGGTTAGTGTGGCCGCACACCACCGAATTACTGTGGTTAAAGTAATGGGGTAGTGTGGCCGCACACCACCAAATTAATGTGGTTAAAAACCGAATTAATGTGCTTAGTGTGGCCGCGCACAATCGAATTTATACAACCTGTTTCCCAAATTCGAATTATCTAAATTCGGATTAATCCTGTAGTGTAGACATACCCTAAAAGAGCTAAATATATATACAGTAGCTTAGCTGACCAAAGGCTATGGAGTAGCAGACATGCTAAGAGTCTGTAAAGTATTTAGACAATGGAAACACCAAGGAGACAGAAAAATTGCCAAACAGTTTAACGTGCTATTATAACTAGGAGTAATGGATGAAATTAAGTAACAGAAAACTTAGGATGAATATCAGGTTAAGATATGCTACTGCAGAGATCTATTAGACCTGAAATAGTGGAAGAGGAGGAAACCTGATTGCTTTGGATATTTAAATGAAGATATCACCAAAGTACTAATAAATATACTGTAAAACTAACCATATACTATTTTATAATATCAGGTGAAAAGCTAGTATGTGGAGCAACCCAAAGGAGGCAACTGATCAGGATATCACTGCTATAATTGAAAGAAAAATTGCACAGGGGACAGTAGTGAGGGGATGAAAAGGAGAGGAGTAAATGAACAATGAGAACAATCTTCTGTAACAATTACTGAACGTCCTCCTACCCAGCTATGGAGTTGCTCTTTCAAATGGGTCAGTCACAGCGGGGCTGCCAGACATCAGACATTCTCACCCCCTCATTGTCATTAAAAAATGAAATGTATAATTAGTAGCCTCCAAACAGAAAGGAAAATTATTCCTGAGACTCCCAATAGAGGCCCCCCATCTACCCAAGTTTTCTTGAAAATCATTCAGAGCTTTTATAACTGATAAAAGATGAATTTACACAGAAAAATGTCAATGAAAATAAGGAGTTCTTTCAGAAGAATTTATTAGACGTCCCAAAAGCCCTGATTTCACACTCGGGAAAGAGGACAACTTTGGCTAAAAGCCTATCCTGGTTCAATGGCAAAGTGAAGGCAGCAATTAGAAATAAAAAAGTAACATATAACAAATGGGAAACGGGGGAAATAGGTAGCAATTAATCTAAATTAAAAGTTATAAAATATGGAAAACTGATAAGGGAAGCTAAGGACATCAGAGAAAATTCCATGGCTGGAAGGGCTAAGGACAATGTGAAGGAGTCTTTTTGATTTTTTGTTTGTCTGTTTTAACTATATTAGGAACAAAAGAAATCATAGCAATAGTATAGGTGCATTTCTAGATGGAGATGGGATAATTGTTAACAATAATACAGAAAAAGCAGAAGTACTCAATAAATATTTCTGTTGTGTATTTGGGAAGAAGCAGGATGATGTACTTATATCACATGAGGATAATGAAGTGCTTTCCAGTCCATTATTAACCACGGAGAATGTTAAACATCATTTACAAGGGATAAATGTTTTAAAATCAGCAGATCTGGATAACAGGCACTAAAAGAATTGGTAAAAAGACCTCTGGCCCACTGATGCTCATTTTTAATAATTTTTTTTACTACCAGGGAAATTCCAGAAGACTGAAGAGTGCTAATGCTGTGCCAATGTTCAAAAAAGGAAAGCTGGATGACCTGGATAACTATAGGTTGGTTACCTGACATCAATCCCAGGCAAAATAATGGCAAAGCTGATATGGGATCAATTGATAAAGAATTAACAGATAGAAATATAATTAGTACCAGTCAACATGGTTTTATGGAAAATAGATGTTGTCAAACAAAATTAATTTCATTCTTTGATGAGATTACAAGTTTGGTTGATAAAGGCAACTGTGCAGCTTGGACCTCTATAAGACATGAGCTAGTACCATACAACACCATGATTCAAAAAATTACACATTATCAATAAAGCACATGTTAGATGGATTAAGAACTTGGTTAACTCACAGATCCCAAAAAGCAGATGCCAATGGGAATTATCATCGAATGGGGATGTTTCTAGTGGGGTTCCGCAGGGAATGATTCTTGGCCTGACGCTATTCAGTTTTTCATCACTGATCTTGAAGTAAATATAAAAGCACTGCTGATAAAGTTTGTGAATGACACAAAGATTACTGGAGTGCTAAGTCATATAGATCAGTCTGGATCACTTGTTAAACTGAGCCCATTAAAAATGCATCTTAATACAGCCAAATGAAAGGTCATACCTTCTAGGAACAAGGAATATAGGCCATACCTGCTATGATGGGGTGTCCACCCCACCCAAGGGCTGAAGGGGTTAAGGTGGCTAGCTGGGCCAATTGACTGCCCAGGCCACTTGGAGGAGGAGCCAGGGAGCAGGGATTGATTAAATGAGGCTCAGCTGGATGGGAACAGGAGGGGCCCATATAAAGCCCAGGAGCTGAGAGCAGCTGGGGGCTGCAGGGAAGTAGGCTGCAGTCACTCCCTGGGAAAAGGGAGGCGTGTTGGAAGCAAGGAGCCTATAGTTACTCCCTGGGAGGAGGGAGTTGGGGGCTGGCAAACCCAGAGAGGGGGAGAGCCGGAAGTTGGAATAGAGAGCAGAACTGGGTTCCCTTACCAGCCACTGGGGAAGTGCCACAGACCACGCAGTGGAGAGTGGACTGCCTAGAACAGTAGGCCCTGAAAGAATTTGATACCTTGGAGAGGGAGGACCACAGTCACCTGGCTGGAGGGCCAAGTCACGAAGAGGAAGCTGAAGTTCCTGAAACGAGAGGGGCCACAGGGTGAGAAAGGATAACGGGTGGAGAGACTAGCTCCTTCCAGGTGCTGAGCCCTCCTCTGGTAATCCCCAGAGCTGCCAGGAGGAGGCACTAGAGCAGTGAGTGGTCCCCATGACACCTACAGAATGGGGGACTATCCTGGAGAAGAGTAACTCCCAAAAGGATTTAGGGGTCATAGTGGACAACATCTGCTCCCAGTGCGATGCTGTGGCAAAAAGGGTTAATGCGATCCTTGGATGTATGAACAGGAGAGTAGTGAGGAAAATTAGGGAGGTGATTTTACCTCTGTATATGGCATTGGTGAGACTGACACTGGAATACTCTGTCCAGTCCAGCTGTCCACATTTTAAAGAGGATGTTGAAAAACTGGAGGGTACAGAGAAGAGCCACATAAATGATTTGATGGCAGGAGAAAATGCCTTCCAGTAAGAGGCTTAAGAAGAGCTCAATCCATTTAGTTAATCAAAACGAAGACTGAGAGGTGCCTTGCTTACAAGTATGTGAGTGCCTTCATGGGGTCCAAAGGACTCTTTAAACTAGCAGAGAAAGGCAGAACAAGAATCTATGGCTGGGAGCTGAAACCAGACACATTCAAATTAGACACAAAGTTTTAACAGTGAAGGGGATTTACCATTGGAACAAACTCCCAAGGGAAGGGGCAGATTTTCCATCTCTTGCTGCCTTTCTGGAAGATGCTTTAGTCTAATACAAGTTATTGGGCTCAATACACAGATAACTGGGTGAAATGTAACGGGCTGTGATATACAGAAGGTGAGACCAAGATGATCTACTGGTCCCTTCCGGCCTTAAAGTCTCTTGATCTATGAATGCCTGAATCCGAAACACTTGTTCAGGCCCCCAGTACCTTATCTCTTCATGCTCATAGCCATTTTTTATCCACCCCTACTAAGAGGATAATTTCCAGAGAACAGGCAGACTGGCTCTTGCCTGACCTTGCTTGGGAAAGACCAACCTACAACCATCAACTAAAATCAACATTATTCCACTACCTGCCCCTAATCCCCCAAACACTAACACATACTTATTTAAAGCATCAGTTCTGTAACTACCAAGGGGCTCCAGCTTAACAGAAAGATCAGCCTCCCATAGATTTAATAAACAGCTAACCCCCTTCCTATATATCTCTTGATGCTCACACAAGAAATTATCCTGCCCTGGGCCTGCAAAACCTTATTTCAGATCCGCATCAAACTCAGAACGATAGTCTGGTGACTGGCCACATGGCCCTATTTGATATTCAAGCCACACCACTCATTCCATTTCATCTCCTAGACACTCAACAAATTCTTGTTGTGAGTGAAAGGACGACACTGCAGGTACAACACAGGTCACAGGATGTATCCCTCGGTATCTCAGATAGAAAAGAGGAGCAGGCTTTAGCATTTCTACTTTTATTGGATTTGTTCTAGTATCTCAACAACT